AAAAAGTTCTCCCCACCTGAAAAAACGTCAATCAGAGTTGCTCCCCCTCTATTGTACGGTCGGGTAACTACTTGAGTGTCGGGTACAGCCGGCTCACGAGGTACAGCATGCTGTACCGCCCGACACCGCCACTTTATCTACGCTGGCAACACGTGTTATCAAATGAAAAGAACGCCCACAACACCTCGCATTCTTTTTGTACAGATTAATTGCTACATATACAGATTTGAGCGCAACATGCCGACACAATAGCATGGCTCAATGATATAGCAGGTATCTAAAATGCCTTCAGCTATTGCCGGAAAACATTGGACATATTGGACTTTTAAGGTTGATTTCACGGCTCCTTTAACTTGATACGTTAGTGTGTTCTTGTCGTATGGCTCGACAATTAGAACAATCACACCTTCTGGATCTTTTTGTCCTTATTTTTCGCTTGTTTAATTTTGTCTTCACATGTGCCTTTCGCTTGAGAGGCCGTTTTATCCTCAACTGCATTTTAGTTCGCATAGTAACTCACCTTATCAGAGATGAAAAGTTATTACTGACACAACTATGAGCAATTTTGTTTCGTACAATTATTAGAGGGAAAGAAACTTAAGAACGCAAGAGAGATTAGGATTAAACTGTTTAAAATTGAGCTCTAGTCGATGTGTATACATGTATATCCACACCGTCGAGTGCTTTTGATGGCCACTCTATTGCTTTCCTCACTTGATTGTAGAATTGAAAACACCAGATATCTCAAGGAGAACAGAACTATTAATATTTCATTACTTGAGTTAAATAATTGAACATAATATTATTTCACGAGCGCGCGTTGGATATGACATGGTAGATAGCAACGAAGCTCCCTGCGCCGAATTGGCAATACTCATTTCATATCCAACAAACGAGAATGGAACACTTGTTTTATTCAAAATTTCACCAAAATACAGAAAAATGACATAAAGTAGAAAAAAAAAGCCCCCAAAAATTACGCGTTCACTTACTACATTTTAGAGCATGGTATAATTGCTCATATATCATGGTGTCTAAGCCAATCAAAACGCTTGAATCGCATTATCCAATGTCCCACTTTGCAACTTGCGTCCCAGCATGTGTGATTTTGTACCATGTGACCGGATCGTGCAAAGGGCCTATTGGCGGTGTAAAAATCCATAGTTTTATTGTTTAAATTTAAGTAACTAAATTACAAAACTAACCTACTTGATAAGAGCCGTGTATAGGAATTCGAAAGCTTGTAACTGGCAAATTGTACTTTTATCACTTCCAATCGGCTTCCAATACATTACACACTAAAATATTTTCAATATATTATGTAGATCTTCCCAGGGAAAACCCCTACCAAATAACGCCACCAAAACTAAGAAGTAAAAAGACTCTTCCTTTCAAGATCATACTGATAAAAAACGTCCATGGGAAAAAAGATGGCGGCTCTACGGTTTACCACAATGCCATGCGAACCTTACACAGCCCATGAAGCTCAAACTGGGACTATTTGTTCCTGAGCCAACGACATAGTGCATGTTATTCAGTTGAAGACGTTAGAATTTTAACGTTCCTACGCCATTATGTGTGTTGTTTAAAGTAATAGTGCGCTAAGAAACATGGATAAATGTACCAGTCGCCGTCTTTTTTCCTTCGGAGGATTGTAACTAACGGAAATCACCCAGTCAGGCAAGCGGTTTTCGTGGGTGCAACTTAGGCTCGCGTAATTCATATTTATAAATGCTTTTGGCGCGAAAAGACGTTTTAAAATTAGTTGATAACACGCAGTTACAGGCACAGGTATGCCTCATCCGTGTTATTTAGAAGCTCGCTGAATCCTAGCCTGTGAGAGCATCCCGTTTTTTCCGCTCCGTTCATTTCGATAGTTAAATTGTAGCGTTCATCGTATTACTGAAGATGTAACTGCAAGATATTCGAATTTACTTTTCTTAAGCTACTGGCAGTGAGCTTAAAGGCGACCGTTACGGTGTCAGTGGAATGTTAGTGAACACGGTAAATAAATACGGTTGTCTAAGAACATTTCTGGTTGGTTGTCTGCTATGATGATGATGATGATGATGATGATGATGATATTTTCATTAATATTTTAGTAATGCAGTTGATAGTTTGGTTAATTTCTAATCAATTCATCCATGATTTTCCCTCGACCATGATAGTAACATCAGACACCATTTCGTGCCTTACCGGTCTGGAATGTAATGGCTATTTTTACGAGAAAACTGAATGAAGACTTGGCTTAAATATAAAGACGTAGTTAAGATGAACGCCAAAATTCATGTTTTCGCCAAGACCGACAAACGTAGAATCCAAGAACCTGTATAAACGTTTCAAACAACAGACCTTTTTCGCTTGGGCGATTTGTTTTCCATTACAGACTGCGTGATATTCTAAAGAATTGTTCTTTTATCCATCTAAAAATTATTTATTCATATACACAAGACTATTTAAATATTTGAAATCAAAAATCCTCAAGAGTATCACCACATGGTCTGAAATGGCAAAACAAACCGCTCAATCGAAAAAGGTCTATTATGCTTAGGAGTGAGGGGTGGTAAAAGAAATGATAGCGCAATCTAATGCTGTCAGTTTGATGAGGTTTGATGCAGTTCCGGCGAAAAATTTTGTTTTCCTGTATGACCTACTTCTCCAGTAAGCTGTGTAGACACTGTTGTATATGTTCACAGCCGTGGAAGGTAACCGATACTCGAATGATTCTAATTACTTAAAATTCAACCAAACTAGGGCGTATGTCAATTATATTTACTCCTTACCACATGACCCTACAAACCCTCTGAGAGCACATCTGACATAAACTCTCGCTTATAAATGTATTCATGCCTTTGTATCCAGTGTATCACTGTCTTTTATTTTAATTTGGATCGTTTGTCCTCATTTTCCAATACCCTTCTTCTCGCTACCTACCCTGACAAGCAACATACAAGTTAGACTACATGTCATTCTATTTATTTGTTCAAAATCTTTTAACATGGGATTTCTTTCACATATTTCGCCGGTTCTTTTATTGTCAAGATTCGCTCAGACATGTACGGCATTGTAACAGCTATATAAAGAATCTTATCATTGGCGTGGAAGTTTCTTTGTTATAAATTTTAGTGACCATCTGTTAACGGCAAATTTATTGTTTTCAAGTGCTATTAGCTATGAATAGGTTCTGGTGTAGGAATAACTTAGGCTCCATGTGTGTATTGCTGGAGTAAATGACTTGTATTTGCTAAAAATGAACATTCAATACTCGAGTGTGAAGGTTTCTTTGTGAAAGCGATACTCCAGTTCAAAACCACGTGTGAACTACTAGGCATGTGTTAATTGTTTTTTGACAAAAAGATTGTTAAAATGATCAGTTAACACTCGAGCTCGATGGTTGTCATCATTAATTTGTCTGTTTATAAGCGCCAAGAGTGTTCGAAGGCGTGAGAAACTAGCCTCTTGCTATGTTTCCCGTTAAAAGGTTGTTCGCCATATTTGACATTTATTTTTATTTTAACTGGATTTTAAAAATGAGGCCATTTCAAAAACTGAAAACGGTCGATTGAGTTACTCCCAATGCGACCTTTTCGCACACAGTTAACATTTTCGAAAAGCTGGGAAAGTACAGTTCAAAGAATCAAGTTAAAAGCTGCCTGTAGAAGCATCTTCCGGTATTATTGCGCGTCTCATCAAATCTTCGTAAAACCAACGCATTTGACTCGTTGACATGATGTGACAGAACACGTTTCAGATTTATGATCAAATGATGTTTTCACAGTCCAATTCGAAAGATTCCAGGTCACTTTCGGGGCACCGGCATAAAGTATATACGTACCAGGATGGCGAACTGGCCTGGCATGATAAGGAGATTTTCTGATTTAATGAGAGTTGCTTTTTCAAAACCTGCTCAAAAGAAAACAGTTTGTTGTTAAGTAAAATCTCAGTTTATTCTTTATATTTGGCGTGATAATTTGAGTTTAACTTTCGCGAAAGTGACCTGAGAAACGTGACGAAATGCTTGAGTTTTGCTCGCGTTTTACACCAACAATGGATGGCAAGTACGCATTTATTTCTCAGCAGAAAGAGAGCCATTGTGTTAAATACTCTATTGAACTGACTTGTTCGGTCCATTTTGGGGAAGATTGGTCTTGTTCCTTTTTTGCTGCGGCTCCATACATAACTTCCAGCAAAAAAAAAAAAAGAAAAAAACCGAAAATCAAAACATCAGTTATTAATTTATATGGATATCAGAGGACAAAGACCACAATTTTTTTTCTCAGATATCTTAATCTAAACTGGTAATGCATCATTTTATCGTTCACGACTACAATTCAATATTATTCCTCTAAGGCTCAACCTTCTAAGTGGAAACAAGCTCTAGGAAAAAAAAAGCTGCAACTTTGTTGTAATGGAACGCTCTTTGTTATTTCATTAGCTAAATCTATTATCGCAAAATTTTGTTGAGTATTTCCTTAAACCAAATTGTTATTCATTAAGGATCACTATTTTTGGGTACATGCAATAATTGACCAATCTCTTGCACACAACTTGTTCAATCTCGCGTACAAAACGTGTTCTAATTGCAAGTTGACTATCGCCCATAATAATCACAATCTTAAGACCTACAATTTATGTTTTTTACGCTAAAATTCAAGCATAATCTTCCCTTTCAAGAACGACACACACGCGAGATCGGGTTCTATAAGCGAATAAACAACCCGAGAACCAATCAGATTGGCCGATTGTAAATAGCATACGCCGAGTGCCAAGTAACCTGCTGTATAACATAGCTTTCAGCCAATCAGAGAAAGCGCAGAACTGTAAACCAGACCGCTGGACAATGCACTGAATATTGTAAAAACAAACTGAGGTTTATCACTCTCGGGAGTCAGTAAATAAACAAAGACTCCAATAAAAAGGCTTTGATTTATCCTGTTAAAATCGGAAATCGGTTAAAAATTACATACAGGGTTACAAATAAAACGACGAAATACACGTGCAATGGTTGTAGCTTGGTTAATTTATTTGGATTCAAACTGCTACGCCGTACAACACTGCGGCCAAAAACGAATAACATTGAAAGAAATAGGTGAAAAGAGGTTAAAATAGAAAAGATAAGACCATGATAGATAATAACCCGAGGAACAAAACACTATTGAGTAAAAGTTTCACGTTTATAGTCTATTGTTAATATTTACAACAGGTATCATTCAGTATTACAGCCATTCACAGCGCCGCTGCACGCTATTTCATGTCACGTTATCTAGCGTGACCTAAAAAGGTCAAATTGATTCAAAAGAACAGCGATAATAGCGAGGCCATTGAATGGTTTGTTCACAATATTTCAATGTAAACTAATAACTACCAGTAGTGGTTTTTCAAAGAGAGCGGATAATACACTCTGTAGTTTCAAAGTTGAACTTCTTTCTACATTGTGGTCATCTTGGCCTTGTCTATGAGTTCTCGTCCGATTATCATTCGTTGGATCTGCGCCGTGCCCTCGTAGATCTGAAAGAGAATCATAGAACTTTCCAGACTAAATCGGTTATTTTCCTTGTCTTGTTAGGTCCCCGAGTTTTATAACCAATCTGTTGTGTCAATGGAAATCGTCCACTATGGGTGTACAAAATGAACGAATACGTTAGTAAAAATTAGTAAATATTAATGAAGTTTACTCCATATTGAGAACGGCACAGTCAACAAATACATATGATTAATTGACCTTTTTCTCAGTTACGTGTAGTCGAGGTCCATAAACACGCAAAAAAGAACGAGGCCAATATCCAGCCATCTTGAGCGAACAAGCTAGGTCAATAAAGGATGTATTATATGGAAAATAAACACTGTTTTCTTGCGGGACACAGCGGGTAATCCCGAGCAGGCAAGATGGCGCCATCTTCCCCGCTCGGGTAGCCAATCACAGCACAGGATTCCGTTCATCTTGTCGGCTCACGGAGCAAGCCATATATCTAATAGGAAGGTTTCATTTCCACGTGCGACAAATTTTTGTCTCAAAGTTACAAAGCAGTTTATCAGGCCATGATGGCGTCGCAGCTTGCGAAGAAATCCCACTTGCGCGCGAAGAAATCAGGAAATTTACCAGTGGCGTCAGCGACGGACGATTTGCCAAAGGCTGTGACAAAGAAATAACAAAGGAGCGAAGACGCAAGGCTCACCTGGAAGATTTTAGCATCTCTCATCAGCTTTTCAACCGGGTACTCGGAATTAAATCCATTCCCACCAAAGACCTGCAAACAAAAAAGGCAAACGAGATGACAGCAGTCTAAGCAAAACATACATCACAGCTGAAAAATCCTACAAATGGTAATAAAACTCTAAGCATGACATCAAACACAAGCGCAAGCTCCACAATTGTCTAATAAACAGTAGTTTACAATAGCAAACGCCTCGTAGTATTCTGTGACGACTTAAAATACAAAACAAGGTCTTCCGAAGAAGGAACTGTTTCTCGAATACAAAACACCGCTTATCGTCAGAGAGCAGAATAATGGAGAGGGGTAAAAGATCCTCTAAGAGCAAAATCTCTCAAGAATTTGTCGCCGATTGCTAACTTAGTAATTAGAAATGTTGATGTCCTCTACAGGACAATTAATTTATCGTGGGAAGGGGACTATTTTTGAGCCGGCTTCTTGCCGGACTTTAACAGTGTTCCCCATTGTATTTCAGAATTGTACAATGTAATACCTGAACAGCATCTGTAGCACATTTGTTGGCGACATCTCCTGCCAAGCACTTGGCTATGGAGGCGAAATACGTGTTGCGGCGGCCCTAAAAACATCAAGCAAGTCAGTGACATGTCCAGCTTGTCTCACTTTACACACTACAACACGACAAACCAAGTCAAACTACACAAAATCTGAACACGTATACAATCAGCCTTCAGAACCCGAGACTTAATTCAGCCTGTGGTGGATTTTCTTGGCAACATCTTAAAGAAGTGGGGCAGAAGTATTCTTGAGTGACAATAAACTTAACGTATATCGCAAAACCAAAATACTCCAGGCAGTGTAATTGTTGCATTTCATAAATACGGAGATATAAAGGAACGATTTAGCCTTAATTCTCATCAATGACATCCATTTCAATGTTAGTTCGGTAGATTCCTCGGTAGATCCAGACAATCAATCTGATGCCCTCAGTACAACATACCCTCAAGCTCCGCTGTAGTGCCTCAGAGAACTAACCAGAAACAAACACGTAGCGAAGAGAAGTTTCCACCGGGTCGACACAACGTTTGAACTCGCCAACAAGCAACTCACCTGATCAACTTCCCAAGCTGAGCGCTGCACCGCCAAGCGAGAAGTCTCGATACCAATCGCCATGTCAGCTAACATGAAATTCACGGCCTGGTGCTAATGTTCAGAATAAAATGAAACAAACAGTTAAGTTCGTACCAGCCCTGACCTCGCCTTTTCACGCCGCCCTTCACACAGTGTCGGGGGAGTCAAACCATCGTCCGCTTCGTAGCAGGTCAGGTCAGACATTGATTCAACCTCTAGAGGATTTACGGATAGCGCATCCTGGTGTTTCAAGTTTCTTCAAGAGACAATCCGTGTTAATCTACTCGAATGTTACCCATCCTTGTTCTCTTCATCAGTCGTGACCTCTTTTGCGTTTTTCTAGCTTAGTAAACTATTTCGTTGTAGTTACTTTTTGCCTCAAAGGTAATTTTGTAAAATTGAGAAGTCCGAAAAATATACCGCTTAATTGTTATCAACATACCTGGGCGATATATTTTCCCATGGTTTTCCGCTCCAGTGAATATCTGAGCGCCTCTTCCATAGCCCTCCGCGCCAAACCAACAGCACTGGCAGCAACCTAATCATCAGAGAACTATTGTTTTAACACCACTAAACTAGGGTTTGCAATTTTATGTGAGTCTGTCCTAAACAGGTTAAAAGCCTTAGATCAGGTTCAGGGTTTCATCTGAGAAACAGTAACCCACGACAAACTCGCATCAAGACAAGTGCAGTTGGACAGGGGAGTTGGAAGCATAGCTTACACCCAGTATATGTGAAACAAAGATATTGTCTCTTGAAAGAAAGGACCGTGTATAAAATGGTGACTGGTAAATCGGTTTGTACACCTTTCCTTTAACGCCGTTTGCTGTTGGAGCAGAGCGGATTCTAATCGCAGCAGTTCGCTCCACCAAAATGTACAGTAACAGGCACCCTGTGAAGAACTCCAGAGCTGAAACGTCTGCAGTCTGAACGTCTGAAACTCCGATACCTTACTCGATATTCGGTTCACTTTCCTATCGCTGAACAGTTATTAGAATTTTAAAACGAGACTCTGTAACCAAGACGGTCAAACTATAACAACGGGCTTACTGGAGGCCTGGTCTTGTCAAATGCTCCCATAGCAATCTTGAAGCCAACGCCTTCAGAACCAAGAACGTTCTAACAGGGAAACAATATTTTAATGGTCAGTAATGAAGGTACTAACAATGGTAGTAGGACTGAGTGGAAAGAATTCTGTTTCTAATCATATGATCGAGTGACTAACAAAATCGGACGACAACATAGCGTGTCACGAAAACTACGGCCTAAGACCTAAGACTTTATTACTCCTCGAAAAGTTCGTACAACCTTTTCTGAGATCCTTAGAGACTAAAGTAAACAAAGGTATAGCTGACCTCTTTAGGTACAACGACATCTTCAAATGTTATACCACGAGTATCAGAAGCTCTCTGACCCATGTTCCATTCCTGCAAGAAAACAAACAATTGTTGAGAGGCTGGATACTTCAAACTTGTTTCACTTAATGTACACTTCCTTAACCCTAGTTCCCCATTCTCTATTTTCCATAATTCACTCTGTTTGTCCTCCAAATTTTGTATAAACTGTTGTTGTGAAATGTTCTTGGGAATATGAAGACCTCCCAAGAACATTTCACAACAATAGTTAATGCAAAATTTGGGGGCGAACAGAGTGAATTATGGAGAACTGGAAAAATGAGAATTCCCTTGGCTAATAACATGGCAAGTAGCATGTCAAAATCAAAGGAGTAAGATTCTTCACCACAAAGGTGATACATTTGTCGCAGCTCACAATGAAAAAAAATCCCTTGTAACAATAATTGCCAACAGCTCTTTAACTGCTCAACAAGACATTTTTGGGTTCAATCCTTGGCCTTAGGTCACTTCACTAACGAGAGGCCTGGATGTCAAACATTTAGCATGCTGGACTCCAGATTGAGCCTTGGCCTGCTGAGGGTCACAAATAATTGAATATCCTGGTACCTTCCTTCCAACAGTTATTCCAGGTGAGTCCCTGTCAACAATGAAGCCTGTGAATCCTTTGCCAGGAGGAGCATCAGGGTCAGTTCGTGCCAACAGGAAATACCTGCATTACAAGGACACCATTGACTGAAATGTTTAGGTGCATTTACACTTGGTGCCTGAGCACCGGCACAAAACAGTAGAAAAAGGTGTGTTGACATAAATGCCCAGTGAGAATCATAATTGGGCACTGTGCTCGGGTCCAACCATGAAAACAGCCTTAGTCAACTGCCTTTATCTTCCCTTAGCATTCTGTTACAAATTCAAGACTTGGCAAATAACAAGTTGAACTGAAGAAAAACTGTCTTGATAAAGATTCAAATTCTTCCACCTGCAGCATTTGGGCCAGCTTAAAGTGTTGAAAGAGATAAGAAGCTGGCTGAGATTGTGCTGGAATGCCATACATGTAACCTAGGAGACATTCTTGAGATACTCACCAATTAGCAACACCTCCATTAGTTATCCACATCTTTTGTCCATTGATTACATACTGAAGGAAATTTAGCAAATATACAAATGTGTATTACATGAAGGCCTTCACATGATGATTGATCACAAAACCTGTGATAAATACTCACTTACTGATATGAAGTAAAACTTTTGGTTTGTAATATATCTTACTTCATCTCCCTTCTTTACAGCTTTGGTTTTGATTCCTGCCACGTCTGATCCTGCACCTGGCTCAGTCACACAATATGCCTGCAAAAGTAACACAATCTCTTTATATGCCTGGATCAGTCACACAATATGCCTGCAAAGTAACACAATCTCAAAACTTGATATGCCTGGATCTGTCAAACAATATGGCTGCAGGAAATACAGTCTCTCTAATATGTGTAATTGCCTGTCTTATAATACCCCAAATCTTGTGTATATAACCATGACCATCATTCATGTCCTTACATCTTTATTTGCAGTTTTATCACAGTGTATATATATGATGTTTCATATATTCACTTGCAGTTTATTTACTGGCCAATGCAAACTGACACATAATTATGCTGTAGAGAGTGTAGCCTGGGTCATATAATCCCCAGCTCCAAACATGTACATGTATTAGTTACTCTTAGTCTGTTCAACTCTTGTGCTAACTACTTACTAACTGAAAGAGAGGTCTTTAAAGTGCCTATGAAATAAAAAAATGATTGCTGCTTATTTGAAAGGCTTTTCAAAGTAAAGGAGAATGGCGTTTCCCTTTTTGGAATATCTTTTTTCATTCTAGAGATATTTACCTTTTTGTGTTATGCAAAAGAGGAAAGTGATGACGTCATAGGTGGTTCCACTTGAACAGTAAAACACTGAATCAAGAATATCTCTAGAAATATTGGAACAGTGTTCTTTACACTTGGC